CGCCCCCGCAGCCGTTGTGTGGGAGGAGCGGTTCGGCAACGGAGTGGAGTTGCCAGCAAGGTGAGAAGTGGTTTTTTGTCTTTTATTATTCTTCAAAGAGCGCTGAGAACTTGGAGCTCTTCTCCAGAAGTGGGATATTGCATTGGGAAGGGAGACTGGAGAGCCTGGCCTGGCGGGGTAGGGACTTGGGCTGTGTATCAGGACAAGGGAGCCTCAAAATTTGGAGCCAGTGTGGTTAGAGAGTATCCTAATATCCATGTCTAAAATACTTGAGTCTCACAATTGCTATTGCATTTTTTAAAACTCTCTTTTCTCTGTATCAGCTACAGCCATAGTGAGGGCTCTGGTTTGGTAGCTGAGGGGCGCTGGCAGCAGGGCCTGCCCAGCCCCGCGCTCCTGAGCCAGCCAGCCCAGCGTGTCCATCTGCCGCCACAGCACAGGCGCCCGGGCACTGCCGGGGCTCCAGGGGGCAAATACCCTTCCTGAGGCCGGGACCGTTCCTCCAGGCAGCCATGGCAGCCATGGACTGTAGAGCTGAGGACTGTTGCCTCTGTAGGAAAGGTAAGACTGCATATTTTTCAGAGAAATAATGAATGATCCAGAAATCTCACGTCATTCTGATCACAGATTGGTGAAAGGAGTCCAGTGAGATCCACAGAGCTCCCCAAGTCACCATCCTGGGGGTCTGTCTGGCGTTACCTGCCACCTGAGACTAGTGTGTTTCTAAGCACCCCTTCCACAAACAAAGCAGGTTTTACTCAGTGCTTCAAGCTTCCTAGGTAAGGATCCCTGAGTTTGGCTCAAGTTTACTCATATCCTGACAAATTTGTCCACCTTATTCTTAAAGATGCCTCTCAGTGATGGCTGCATTACTTATCTAAGTAATCTATTCTAGTTTTTCCTAGCATCCTGTCTTTTTTACTGCTCTTTAAGCCTAATATTTCCAGTCCTGGACACTGTGGCACAAAAACCAGTTTCCTGCCATGTATAGTATATGAGCTTTGTTTTCTATACAGTGACCATATATTTAATTTTGAACTTCATGTGTATTTTTGAAATTAGGATTATTGTCCTCTGAATAAGTGAGGTTCTTGCAGAATAATTTCAGATATTCAGCTCCTAACAGAATGTTTGAGAAACTTGCTGTTGGAGAAATTTGATTTTTCTTCTTCGCTGGAAGAAATCAAGTCACCTTGCAATCTTTTCACTGTGCTATGTTTCCCAAGCCAGTAAAATTCTGTGTGTAAATCAAGGAAAAATGCTTTCCCTAGAAATCTCATTTTGTATCTAGTGTCTCGAGAGCTAATTGGGTATCATTAAGAAATTACAGGATGTTTAAATTTCAGAATCCCCTTCTATAAATCTATGGGTATCTTTTTCTCTGCACCATTCAAACACAGCCAGGGACCTCCTCTCTAAAGAGTGGAGGAGATCAAAGCCACATTTGCCGTGTCCTTAGAAAATGTTTACTTGCTCTTGAATGAAAGCTATGCTACGGTATTGAGCAGAGCACAGCTCTGCAGACCAATGGAACAAGAGTTTCCTGGGAAGAGAATGCCATGGCTTCAGCCCCATGCTCCTGTTTCTGTAGTTTTGCAGTTGTACTTACAGTGTAAAAACCAAGCAGTCCCTGGACATCACCCTCGTGTCTGCTGTTACTCTTGGGAAACCTGTTTGCTCATATGCAAAGTTTGAATCATTTTGCAGGTGGCCTGGGGTTGTGGCTTCCTGTTATTTGTAGTATTGGTGTCCAGGGGAGTTTTGCAATTCCTCCCTTCTGCAAAACTGGAAGGACAATCCTTAGCAGAGTTATTGTTCTCAGTAAGGTCTGGGAGCAGCCATAGCTTAAAGAGGCATAAGCACTCTCCAGTGTTTCAGTGCCTAGAAGGACCTGACAGCACCTTACTGAATCAATAGAATATTTTTGATGTTGGAATACTGAAATATTTTTAGTTCAGGACAGAAGACATATTCAAACCAGCTTCTTCTAAATGTTGTTCAGTAATAGAGAACTATGATAATTTGTAGTTGATGTTGAGAGGTCCAAGAGTTGTTAAAATGCAAGACAAAGACAGGAGAGAGGGCTGCTTGTGTTTTGTGTCTAAACTTGTTGGGACACTCATGGGTTTAGCAGGCCTGGAAGGCGTGGAATGAAAGCTGGAAAAGGGAGCTGATTGTCCGTTAGCTTTGTCAAAATCTTGGAGGGAAAGAGCATCAAGAACTGCTTTGCTCTGTGTATTTGTGAGCAGATCCAGTAGATCTTCACTTGCCTTCAATAGTAGAACAGCAATTTCCACTAAAACTGAGAGAAGTAGCAAAGACTCAGAGAAGCAGAACACGCCCCCTGTTCCCAGAATTCTGTCTACCTCCTCTGCCCTTGGGCTGAGCACAGCAGAGGAGCAGGACTTGCCAAACAGTCGCACACACGGGGCTGACCTAGGAGATGGTGCAGCTTCTTTCATTCCCCTAGATCTGTCCCTATAAAAAGCCACACGAAGAGCTGTTGCACAGCTTTGTATATTTGCATAATGTACAACTTCCTTCACCCTAACTACCACACAAACTGTTTCAGGCTTGCAGCTGTGGCTCATTGGCCGCTGGCTGAGCTCTCCTCGCTGATTTGAGCACTGCAGTACCTTCCCTGCATGCCCTTCTATTGCAAAGACAAGTAAGTAACCCATTGGCTGGCAAACTGCATTTGCCCATAGTGGATTTGGAGCATCTTTTCCATTGGTTAAATGTTAATTCATATACATTTACATGATACCACAAAATCCTCATGCTGCTTCTAGGGTTACATAAGAATGTATCAGGAGCTGAGCTGAGCTCTTAAATTGTCTTAGAGCTGTCAGGTTAGTTTTATTACTGAGCCCAAACTAATTCCAATCTAAAAAATTACCATATCCTAAAGGTTACTGTCCCATCACCCAACTGACAAAACCTTCACACATAAAATTAGAAGAATAACTCCTGTGTCATCCTTTATCATCTGTCAGGATTCCTGTGTTTTTAATGACCCTCATCCTTTTCCACTCAAATTAATACTTTCATATATTGGTAGAATGAAAGTCATAATATGTAGGTAGTACATTCAACAAGATGAGGTTCTAATGGTGAAAACTGTAGAGACTGGTGGTTTTTCTCCTTATCTCAGGGGCAAGGCAGCTCTCTCTTTTGGCTGGGTTACCCCTCACCCAGGCCCAGCGCCAGCCCAGGCTGCAGGCACTGGGAAGTGGGAGTGAGCGCTGGGGCCATGGGGAGCAATGACAGCATCTGAGCTTGCTGCAGGACAGGCCTTCCCTGGCACGTCAGGCCGTGCTCCCCAGGCCCTGCAGGAGGAAGGGTGTCCCCAGAGGCAGCCCTGCCCCCAGGCTGGGCTCTGCTCTCTGCCTCTCCCGGCTCTCCCTCATGAGGAGCACCTCTCCTACGGGGATGCTTGGCTGGCTGTCCTACCAGTAGTCTCAGATTTTCAGTGTGTGGACATCTTGCTGGAAATGCACAGATGATTTTCTTCTCTGGGCATGAGAGTCCAACCAAAATTTCCAAGAAACAACAATAATCACAGCAGCTACCACAGAGATTTGGGTGCTTACCAGCATATAAGCCCTCAGTGCCATTTCTGCCTGATTGTCTCCAGAGGGTAGGAGTTATGAAAACCCACCATCATTTTTACTCATTCCTTGACTAAACTAATGCAGGAAGAACCTGATGTTCTAATTATTCCATATCCCAGGGTTACTAAAGTGTAGTTCCTCTACATGCTGCACAAATTCAAGCATCTGAAGCTCTAATCTAATACTGCATCTATGTTCATTATCCTTTGGACACACAAATCTGAGGTGACACTGGGCATCAAATGCCTTTGCACTCTGTGACTGAGCGATGACATCTGTTCTTAGCAGACACATGCCAATTGAGGATGCAAGTGTAAAATGCTTTCACAAGTGCAATAAACTTTA